TGCTCTGCGGCGCGAGCTGGGTCCCCCTCTGATCGTGGTGACTCTGTTGCTTCCTTCGTGCCGGCGCAGGGAGCCGTGGCGGAAGCGATGGTGACCATTGGTGACCAGCTCATCCTGGAAGAAGAGTTTGACGAGACGTACGTCCCCAACGAGCGAGGTAACCGACGCCTCTCCTCCGGGAGCTGCCGCAAAGGCTGCAAGTGTGCGAGTCACTCCCAGGTCTATCGAGAAAATGGGAACCGGGAGAGTGTGGGTGGAGAGGGTAGAATAAATGGGATTGCACAGAGTGCGGAGCTGAAAAATCAGCTTGTCGGTTGCAGAGATAAAGGCCACTTCGCAGCCTGTGTCCCTGCTTTACCAGCCTGGTGGGACGTAATTGCTGACACAGGGCCATGCTGGCCGCTCTGAGCAGCTTCATTTTGGGAGCAGGGTTTCCCAGCGTGCCCACTGCTTTAGCTGAGGAGCTAGATTGGTTTCACTGTGCAGTGCCTGGTGCAGACCATCTCCACGGTTCCTTCTCTGTTTTCCTAGAAATCCAGGGTTTTGCACGGGAGATCGGGATTGACCCCGAGAAGGAGCCAGAGCTGTTATGGCTGGCCAGGGAAGGCATCATGGCCCCGCTGCCACCCGAGTGGAAGCCCTGGTGAGAGCTCTATCAGCAGGGTCCTGGGAGTTTCCCCCTGCCCTTCCCCTGCTGCGTGCTGCCCACGTAGCTGGCGGGGCAGGGGGGGGGCGCAGGAGATGCGCCTGCTGCGGGTGGGCGAGTCCTGGTTTCACTCTTGGTGCTGTTCTTGCCGTGCAGCCAGGACATCACCGGTGATGTCTACTACTTCAACTTTGCTAACGGCCAGTCCATGTGGGGGCACCCCTGCGATGATCACTACAGAAAGCGTGTCGTTCAGGAGCGAGAGAAGCTGCTGGCATGTGGCAGCTTGAAAAAGAAAGAGAAGAAGAAGAAGAAGAAGAAAGAAAAGAAGGAGAAGAAAGACAAGAAGGAGAAGAAGTTGCTGAAGCGACCCACCGTGAGTAGGCTCTGCTGTTTGCAGCGCTTCTGGGGAAGAGCAGGAGGGCTGGGTGGAGGATGGATGAGGGGCTCTGAACTGGAGGGTGATCCTGTGCTGTTGCTGCTTTGGGGTCAGAACAGCCATCCCCTGGCAAGGGATCCTGTCCAGCTGGGGTGGGAACCCGATGAAATTCTGACGGAAGTGGGGTCACAAGCCTGCCAAAGTTGGGAAGCTTTTGTTTAGAAGGACACGCCTGGACTTGGGGTGCTGCAGCCCTGTGATGCTACTGCAGAGAAGGATGCGGCACCAGCCGGGGGTGCCGGTGCTGTTCTTAGCAGCCGATGTTGGGAGTGTTGCGAAGGTTTCTGTCCTCGGAGAGGGCAGCAAGTGGTGTCTGTGTGCATGGTGCTACGATATGCAGGCAGCGAACAGAGGTTTAGACGTGTGAGGTTAGTCGGCTTTGCTGTCGGGATCTGCAAGCGTAACCAAGCTCCCGTTATATCCCAAGTGGTAGCAGATCATCCCTCCCTGCCGGTGGCCAGCGAGGAGAGAAATCTCCGAGTGGAGAGGCAGTGCCTTGTGTTGTCGCTCACGGCATGGACCTGCTCCACTCAGAACGCCTCAAACCTTCGAGTGGAGCGTTTTCTACATAGACATGTAGTTTCAAGCGCTCAAGAACTTACATACCTATTTATATATAAATTGTATAGTAAATAATGGTGCATCTCTACTTGAGGTAGATAAGGGTGTATATAGCGATGTGTTTTAGTTACTTGCTAATATTTGTCTGCTTAGGAAATGCAGCCAGGGATTCCTCCTTCAGCGCCCGTTTGCCAAATGCCCTCTGCAGTTCCGCGTCCCGAGCCAGGTAGCCAGACTAGAGATGGAGGCGCAGGGAGACCACCAGGGGAGAGTGATCCAAGGAGGCTATTTGCAGGCACGTGGCCAAACAAACTGCATCCCTGGCCTGTTGCGAAGCTCAGCAGGCCATGCCAGAGCTTACCAGATGCGGAGAAAATTTTGGCAAGAGGCCCCTCTTTCAGCAGCTTTGATGTAGACATCCACCAGGCCCGAGACACACGTTTAGAAATGCGAGAAGAGCTCTCTACTGACTCCTCCAACTTGCAGTCCAGCGATTTAGAGGTTGGGCCACCAGCGCGACCTTTGTGTGTGTCTAAGAAATCCTGTGCACGAGACACGAAGAATGCCAGACCTCTGCTAGAGGCCCTTGAAGATGAAATCCTGCTCTTTGAGGAGGCAGAGCTGGAAAAAGAGTGGAAGATGAACGATGTGATGGGTGAGTGTGTCCCGAAGGCGGATCATTGGCTCTCAGTCAGAGAGGAATCTGCAGGACCGGATGGGGATGTGGAAAGAAGTCCAGGCACATTGCAAGCCAGAGAAAAACAAAGCTGTTACTGCGGGAACAGTGAAACGACTCTCTTTGCTGGTCTCGCAGATTGCTGGAGTTTGCACGAGACAGCTGATGTTCTGTGTGTTCCAGAAGGGCCGAGATCCCACAGCAAGGTGTCTGAGGGTAGAAGTAAGAGGAAATGTCGAGATGAGTCTTTGGGTCAAGCTGCCAGTCTGTGCAAGAGCAATGAGACCCTCAGCAGACCCGAGAGAGGCGGTTTAAAGCGGATGGAGCTGCGGGAAGTAGGAACAGGTACACACAGCCACGGTCTGCTGGAGGGCCGCTCTCCAGGCCCTCGTGCAATCACAGACGCACTGCCCTGCTTCCGAGGGGTAGGTGCAAAGAGAGGAATCGATGTGCATCTTCACTCTGTGGTGGATCCTACATCAAAACAGGTGTTTTCATCTGCTAATGATGGCTGGAGCAATGACAAAGGAAGAGGTTGGATTTCAGAGTGTGGCAGCAGTGATTCAGCTGGTTCTTGTAAAGATAACGCACCCCAGGTGCCCGGAGTGAGCCGTGGGGTCTGTCCACAGCAGGAGGCGGGCAGACAGAAGGACGTGTGCTCCCCTGCCGAAGAGTCTCTCTGGCCTCATCCCCTCCTGGGGCCATCCTCGGCGCAGACACTAAGTCCTGCCCAGCACTCGGGGAGGGAGTGGAGCTCCGAGGACGTGAAACTGCGCCGCAGCCCAGAACCTGAACGTGTCGGTCTTGCAGTGGGTTTTTGTGGAGAACACCCTGCCCAGAAGTCCGGTGGTGCTGGAGGAGTGAAGAGAGGCAGTGGAAGGACAGATCAAGCTCCCAGAGCATGGGGCAAGAAGCTTGTGGCAGACTCGGAGGTTGGGTGCTGGGGGAGCAGTGGTCTCCATCAGCGCGTCAAGGCGGAGACGGCCGGGAGCTGCGGCAGAGTAGATGCTGGTGAAGAGGCTGGCGAGAGCGAGGTAGGACTAAGCCCTTTGTGATGGCCCTTCCAGTGTAAGCAGTTATGCAGAATTGAGTGTGAAATTTTGCTTCTGCGGTAATTTTTAGGAGAAAGGGGGTGAAACCATCCTGTTGGGGGTCACGTGAGCAGACGTGGCATTAGTTGTAGCACTTTTCCCAAAGCTCAGGAGGTAGCTGGAAAAAGCCTCTGTTGCTGGCCAGCCTTGCATGGCAAGTGCTGCACAATTTGCGCCTGGTTTTGGCTTTGCAAGGCCATGAAGTGTTTTCTGAACTAAAAAACACAGGTGATGGGCAGTAAATTGAGAGGGATGGCAGCATTGAATGCAAAATAATCTTGAACTTTGGCTCTAGGACTCTTTGTAGGAAGCACACTACAAAGTCAGTCTCTTCCCTGGAGATCCTACGATCTAAATTGCGGGATGGTAGCTTATTCGGCTGTCTTTAGCTCGATTTTGCTTGCTGAATCTCAAGTCCCAGGGCGACTGAGTTGGTTGAGGTGATGTGGAAACTGTGAATCGCAGCCAGTTTTCCTGCGTCCATGTCCAGTACCCTGAGAAACAGCCTCTCTTCCCTCTTAAACGAAAGAAAAGCAGGAAAAAGTTTGCATGAACTGGCTTTCTCAAAGAGAAGTTTTGCTGGTGGTTACAGGCTGTTGCTTTGCAGATGGGTGCAGTGCTGACTTGTCGGAGCACAGTGTAGTCCCTGGACCACTGCTGCTGTGGTCTTGGGACACCAAGGTAGCTTACAGGTGTGATGGGCCCACCTGTAAATGTTTTCTTCTTCCTGTGTGAGGAGCTGGACTGTTTGGCTCCCTTTTGCCCAAACTTTTTCCTGCTGTTGCCTATAGCAGGGTCTTGCCCTTCACTGAGAAGAATGTTGCGGGTGGGCTTGTCTTTGTGTGTAAGTAATTGCCTCAGTTTAGTAAGAACTTACCAAATCTCCTGTTCTGAAGGGAAAAAAAAGTGAACTGAGAGGTCACTGTAATGTTAATGAGCTGCTTTGCCCTGCTGTGGTGGCACCCAGCTGCAGCTCCACCAAATCGCTGGCTCGGGTTTCTAATTACCAGCACGTGGCAGTGCTCTGTTGGTGCTCAGTGAGCTGATAAGAACTGCCACTATAAATATCAGATAAACTGCAGATTAGCCTGAAAGTTGTAAGCAGCCTGATGGAAGAGAGTTTACCTTAGCTGAAGGACAGCTAACGTCCTCTGCTCCATGCGTGTAGTTAATGGCCGTCTGTAGAAAATAATTGGTTAAGCCCAGAATGTGTGATTTATTCTGTTGGCGCTGCCGGGGCGCGGGCTTGGTGGAAGAAGGACCAGCGCGTATTCATCTCCCCGTCCCTCAGCGGGCGAGTGAATTAACTCTGTTTTCAGCCCGTAACCTTGCGTGGAGCCGGAGTGTGGGAGCTGTGATGCGTGAATACCGGCGTGCTGCAGAGGAGGTCCGGGCGTAGCTTGCTGCTGGCCCAGCCCGTGCAGTGCTCCGCAGGGCGAGACCGCCTGGGCGGGGGGCTCCGCCGTCAGACAGAACGGTTGCGTTCCCGGGCGAGGGTCGCTTGGGAAGGTGCCCGGAGGTGAGGGTGCTGGACGGCTCCCGGGGCTCTCGCCGCGCTTCGGAAGGGCGAGGTGGATTCGGCAGCTGCTTACAGATGGCCCCGCCGGTAGCTTCCCCGCTGGTGCGAGGCGAGGAAGCAGCCTGGACTTTGGTCGGAGAAGAGGTGGTGACTGCAGCTTGCGAGGAGGAGGCTGCTTGCTGGCAGAGTGGCTTTTGCTGCAGTTGTT